GCTTGTCTCAGGAAAAGGTCCTGCATAAACAAGCATCAAGAAAAATCAATGTGATGCCGTAAGTTAAAAACCCAGCCCAGCAAAACAAGCACTGCAAAAACGACCACAACACTATTCTGCAATGTCATTTGGCTGGTACATTTCTGTGACCTTTGTCAGCAAAAATACACCCATCACGGTCTCATTTCTGGGAAGTAACACACGCCCACAACTCCCATTGTGTGGAGAGGGAGTCGAGCCAGCCACGCGGATCAGGTTGCACCTTGGTAGGCTGCTGTGGCCTCTTCGACACCTCCTCACCGCAGACGCAGGCAGCTTTCACTCACGTGTGCGCGGCAGTAAGTCTGCCACGCTTCCTGACAGCTGGCGTGGCAGCCTTGAAAAGCCTGTCTCTCAGCTGCAAACACTCACCGTGAATGTCTAATCCCAGCACTTCCCAGGGTGATTCCACTTTGACAGGCCTTGCTTTCCGCGATACGTTTTTATTGTGTTCTGCGTTCTGGCACGTTTCACACATTTTGATCTGGAAAGGGAAAAGACATATCAAAGGACTTTAAAATATGCTGACGAGATTCAGACTGGACAGGTTATGAAGGGATGAGAGGGACAGCACGTCTAAGCAGCGTCCTTCTATCCAATAAAAATAGCAGGACGCAAGAAAAAGAGGGCAAAACACAACAGGCTGACACAGCTCACCTTTCACAAAACTTACCTGACAGCTTTCTCTGACACAATGACCAATTTTCTCAACACTGCCTATAGCTACGATATTTCTCGCCTTGCTTTCAGTAAAACGTTTATTGTATTTTAAACTTTGACTGCTGGCTAGAAAAATCATCAGCCCCAGGATGCTGGAGGAGCAAGGGCTGCTCGGACCATGCAACGCAAACACACTTCTTCAAACCACACTATTGCAGAGCCCTGCTGCAGGGAACTTTCAGCAATAAAACAGGCGAGGCAAAGCAGCCGAAGAGAGCTGGCGGAAACACCGAGCTTCTCCTGTTACAACAGTTTAGGGAGCTGGGCAGCTCTGGTAGGAATCCAGACTGCTCAAAGCTAGACTCAGCAACACTCGTCTGAAACAATCCCGCATTCCCATGCTGGCCAAAACTGCCCTGCACGAGGAGGCCTACCTGTGCAGGTTTCCTGACGCTCGGGGGAAAGACATCCTCCAATCTATCCAGCTGCCTTGGAACGTTCCAACAGTTTCACCTGCAGAGTTACTTAGTGCGTGGCTTCAAAGCAACAGGCACTAGAAACGACAGCATCCCTGCATCAGGGCTCCTCTAGCTGCTCACTTGGGACTGCTGCCTGAATGTCCTGGGAAATACTGGTGTCATTGACACGGCCAATGCTCTCAACTTACCCAGTCCACAACATCCTTCACAATCCCCAGCCAGTAGTACCGGCTCTGAATCCGGTGCACCGTCTTTTTCTGGCCTAGATGGTTCCCAATTTCGGTGAAATGGCTTTCCAGAAAGACTTGCCGCCTCCGTTCAGGATCCACAATCACCTCGCGCTTTTCCTCCTTCTTGGGTCCCACATAGTAGAGGCAGCCGCCTGTAGATGTGAGAAGTTTGTCTAAAATGACATGTGACATGCTCTCACAGCCATTTTAGCTACCCAGTCCCAGTGAAACAGTCATTTCTACAATGGGACAAACAGGTGAGACACACCAAAGGGGGACTATTGTCATGGGAGCTTCTCTAATGCCTCTGGAAAAGCTGCTAAACTGGAATCATGCACAAATAAACCCAGGGACAGCTTTTCTGCACCCAGGGCCAAACAAAATCCTCTGCTATAATAAAACCACACTGGACTCCAGAGGCCAGCTGCGGTCTGCCCTGCTGTGCCCCGGTGCTACCCCAGACTGCCACAATCTCCGCTCTGCGCCCCGAAAAGCACAGAGATGGCATGAGAGAAGCAGCGGGTACCAGCAACGCTGCATCCCACGGCTCCCTCTCTGCTGAGGGCCGAGAAGCCACCCATCCTCCCGTGCTGTGGGGAAGGTACATCTGTCCTCGTATGGGTGGGGATGGCCAGCATGCCTGCCAGCGGGTCACTGTCCCCACACGGGGAAGCTTCTCCTCAGGGGGAGGCCTCTCCTCAGGGGGAGGTCTCTCAGGGTAAGGTCTCTCCTCAGGGGGAGGCCTCTCCTCAGGGGGAGGCCTCTCAGGGTAAGGTCTCTCCTCAGGGGGAGGCATCTCCTCGGGGGAGGTCTCTCCTCAGGGTAAGGTCTCTCCTCAGGGTAAGGTCTCTCCTCAGGGGGAGGCCTCTCCTCAGGGGGGGGTCTCTCAGGGTAAGGTCTCTCCTCAGGGGGAGGCCTCTCCTCAGGGGGAGGCCTCTCAGGGTAAGGTCTCTCCTCAGGGGGAGGCATCTCCTCGGGGGAGGTCTCTCCTCAGGGTAAGGTCTCTCCTCAGGGTAAGGTCTCTCCTCAGGGTAAGGTCTCTCCTCAGGGGGAGGCCTCTCCTCAGGGGGAGGCCTCTCAGGGTAAGGTCTCTCCTCAGGGGGAGGCATCTCCTCGGGGGAGGTCTCTCCTCAGGGTAAGGTCTCTCCTCAGGGTAAGGTCTCTCCTCAGGGTAAGGTCTCTCCTCAGGGGGAGGCCTCTCCTCAGGGGGAGGCCTCTCAGGGTAAGGTCTCTCCTCAGGGGGAGGCATCTCCTCGGGGGAGGTCTCTCCTCAGGGTAAGGTCTCTCCTCAGGGTAAGGTCTCTCCTCAGGGTAAGGTCTCTCCTCAGGGGGAGGCCTCTCCTCAGGGGGAGGCCTCTCAGGGTAAGGTCTCTCCTCAGGGGGAGGCATCTCCTCGGGGGAGGTCTCTCCTCAGGGTAAGGTCTCTCCTCAGGGTAAGGTCTCTCCTCAGGGTAAGGTCTCTCCTCAGGGGGAGGCCTCTCCTCAGGGGGAGGCCTCTCAGGGTAAGGTCTCTCCTCAGGGGGAGGCATCTCCTCGGGGGAGGTCTCTCCTCAGGGTAAGGTCTCTCCTCAGGGTAAGGTCTCTCCTCAGGGTAAGGTCTCTCCTCAGGGGGAGGCCTCTCCTCAGGGGGAGGCCTCTCAGGGTAAGGTCTCTCCTCAGGGGGAGGCATCTCCTCGGGGGAGGTCTCTCCTCAGGGTAAGGTCTCTCCTCAGGGTAAGGTCTCTCCTCAGGGTAAGGTCTCTCCTCAGGGGGAGGCCTCTCCTCAGGGGGAGGCCTCTCAGGGTAAGGTCTCTCCTCAGGGGGAGGCATCTCCTCGGGGGAGGTCTCTCCTCAGGGTAAGGTCTCTCCTCAGGGTAAGGTCTCTCCTCAGGGTAAGGTCTCTCCTCAGGGGGAGGCCTCTCCTCAGGGGGAGGCCTCTCAGGGTAAGGTCTCTCCTCAGGGGGAGGCATCTCCTCGGGGGAGGTCTCTCCTCAGGGTAAGGTCTCTCCTCAGGGTAAGGTCTCTCCTCAGGGTAAGGTCTCTCCTCAGGGGGAGGCCTCTCCTCAGGGGGAGGCCTCTCAGGGTAAGGTCTCTCCTCAGGGGGAGGCATCTCCTCGGGGGAGGTCTCTCCTCAGGGTAAGGTCTCTCCTCAGGGTAAGGTCTCTCCTCAGGGTAAGGTCTCTCCTCAGGGGGAGGCCTCTCCTCAGGGGGAGGCCTCTCAGGGTAAGGTCTCTCCTCAGGGGGAGGCATCTCCTCGGGGGAGGTCTCTCCTCAGGGTAAGGTCTCTCCTCAGGGTAAGGTCTCTCCTCAGGGTAAGGTCTCTCCTCAGGGGGAGGCCTCTCCTCACCCCCCGTCACCTGTGGCATTTCCACGCACAGGGGTGGCCCGGGTGGGGGTGGAGGGAGCCGGGGAGGTTTGCCGAAGCCACAAGCGCTGACGGAACCGGGGCGCAGCTCCCCGGCCCTCATCAAACCCGGTGCCGGGCAGAGACCAAAGGGAAAAATTCCCCGCTGGCACCTCTGTCCGAGGCTGGATGCTGTCGGTGATGTGTTTACACTGGCGACGCCCTGGAAGTAAATACTGTAATTCAACACATTCTCAAAATTGGCCGCCTGTGCCATCTGGCCTGACTGGTTTTGGTCAGCAGGCTCCCAGCACCCTTCGAGTTTGTCTTTTCTTGTCCCTTCGTTTGTCAGTTACTTGTAAAGAATGCCTTGAGATGGGATCCCCCAGAGTTCACATGAGATCTGCCGAAGGTTATCACAAGACCTCCCCCCAGGGCACTCCTTTAGGGAGGGATCTGTCTGTCTTTCCAGGCCAGGGACAGAGACCTGTCACACAACCAGCTCCAGTTTCACCCCAACACTAAGGGAACAGACCGGTTCTTTTAGGGACCCTTGGCAGGATGAGGCCAGCACTAAATCATGTTTACAATTAAAGCTTGATTTTCTTAACAGGGTATTATAATTAGTATACTACAGAACTTATGATTAGAACGGCACAGGATTTCTACAAGCGGAATCAATGTAGCACAATAAGCATAATACAGAATTTATAATACAACTCCACTTAGGATTTCTAGATCCTAACTTAACTTAATTTATGATTTCTAATCCCCTAGATCCTAACTTAACATAATTTATAATTTCTAGTCACCTGGAGCCTCTGCAGATTGGGTCAGATCTTAATACGTAGTTTGCTGTACCAATATAACCATCATAATCTAGACTCAAAAGTCATATAAAAGAATATGAGACACTCAGTCCTTGGAGAAAGCAAATGACTGGGGAGGCAACCCTGGCCACTGGAGGGTCGCAGCTCTCACTGTCCAGCAGCAGTTCATGTCTAAGTTCCCCACTTAGGACTTGTAACTGCTTGATTTTACAGACAGTGCTCTGGGTGCTGTTACTCTTCCCTGTTCTGTGATGGGGTCATCGCCACCACTGGGCTGGCCGGGTGCCTGGGACCTTCAAGGCCGGCAAGGAAGGGAGTAGTTGGCCTGGCACCCAGGAACTTCGAGGCTGGTAGGGAGGGGAAGAGGAAATCGTTTTCGTTCATCTGCGTGGTTCACAGGACCTTCAGGGCCTGATAATGAGGGAAAGGCAACGAATACATGACCCACTCGGTCACAGAGAATGGCTGCTTGCCTTATAAAATGGCATTAGTTATGCTAACCACATAACCAGGGGTCAGGAGCAGAGGTACTGGTCACACCCTTCTTCATTTTTTGCTGAGGAATGTTATAAACTAATCTCATGGGGGGTTATTAAATAGGAAGAGCTGCCTGAATCAGCTGCTACTACAGCTGTTTCCTCTGAAATGACAGATTAGCCTGTCCCCAAAACACTTAGAAGTAATCCCTTCATGACAAGTCCTGTCTCCCTCCCAGCAAATGTCTTTATTTTGGACAATGCTTATATTGTCAGAACATAAACCAGACTCTTAAAGCGTAGGCCGGCAATTCATGAGTTGTCAGAATGCCTGAAAGGGCTGAAACCTTGCAGCTCCACTTGACACATCCATGGAAAGACTTCAGTTATATTTTTTTTTCAGTTATTTTTTAAGCCGTTCGTAATAAGAATGTGTCTCAAATCCCTTTTAGGTATTTGGCTTTTCAGATATTTATTTGACTTGTCTTGACTACAGAAAAGCAAAGGCGTACATTCTGTCTCCCAGAGGTGCCCAGAACAAAAATAACTGGTTTAAAACAGTGAGCAAATTCCTGGAATTGTTTTAGTTATCCCATTTGATTTTCTAACAATACGCTTTTTTGTTTACTTGTAGATTGAGGCAGAAGTGCAGAGAAGAAAACAGTTAATTCATCAGTCAGTGGAACGCAAAGCCATCATCTCAAAGTGCTACAAACGAAAACACCCAGAAGTGTACATTCTGCAGGTAGACAGTATGTTTGGAATCTGTTTTGCACCCAAGAAATTGCCTGACAGTTTATTTTTGCAGTAGGAAGCCCTCTTCTCAGGATTGCTCACAGTGCTAGAGCTGGACTGAATTAAAACCAAAGTGTAGCATATTAAAACTGAAGTGAAAACTTTCACAGCGTAGCATGTTCTCCAGGCAGGATTCTGCCTGGCTTATAGCCAGATAAGGGTCATTCTACATTGAAGCTGCACCAGCACCTGGTACAGGACTCCAAATACCATTCGTAATTTAGACCTAAAGCATCATCGCAGCAAACAGGGTTGGTGAGGTCTAACGAACAGCCACAGGAATCAGCCGTTATGGGCTTAACACACAGACAAGTTACTAGTTACTGTCAGCTGAAGGGAGGCAACAGGCTGCTTCCATGTATACACCCCACCGCAAATGCAGGAAGAGCCCTCTTTGTTATGGGCTACACTGATTTGAATTTCCTCCTGTTTGCCAGACCCGAGACTTCCCAGCTGGATAACTACCACAGATCATCAGTAGCACACAAACAAGTTCGCACAGATTTACTGCTCTATGACCCTTTTGTAACAAGTTCTGCTGTTGGCTGTTCTGCTGTTGCCTGTCATGGTCTGTGTGGGGAAGTGCTTAAAGCAGAGTATAGTCATTCTTTTGTGCTGAGGCCATGACAAGAAGCTAAATCTACTAGCGAAGACTTTGCACTTACCTGTTAGAAGTCCATAATGTGAGCCAGGCTCTTTCCCACCGCGCTAAGGATAAATCTGGCCAGTTATACTTAGAAACCCATGAACTAGAGCAAGCAGCAGCTTATCCAAACCACCAAAAACCCCACCAGTAATATTCTGCATTTCCTGCCACAGAAGTAACTCAAGTGTGACTATCAGCCTTGGTCCCTAGACTTTACATATTTTCCTGTGGCTGCCTGGAAGTCCATTTCCCTCTTGGGCTGTAAAAGTCTGTGAAAGCTAATTGTGTTTCTGTGTATTTTTATCATCCTTCCCTTGATGCCAGGAGTCATTCCTGGCTCCAGATTTTCTAGAAATCGTGAGATACTGCACATCGCCGGATGCTCATCTCCATGGCCTCCTGCGCTACATCGAGTCCTTCTCAGGTAAAGAAAACAACACATCAGTCACAAAGATCTTCCCATGTGACACTGCGACTTCAGCGATGACAGCTGTTTTCAAGCCCTGTCTTTAATAGCTCAGATTTGATACACAGCTGAGACAAACAGGGTGTTATTTTCTGCTTGACAAGAGTCTCTGGAGAGGCAGTATTGTGCAGCAGTTATGCTCTGGATGAGATCCTGTTTTCTGCTTTTCCAATCCCAGTCTGCTGATGTCTCATCAGAGGCTCTAGCTGCAGCAGGGCTGGGGTTTTGGTTGTACCACAACCTCACGGGGGAGCCTGCTGAAGGAACACTGTTAGCCTGGGGAACTTATTTTTCCCTCCCCAAGTGCTTTACTATTTCAGAGAATCCCTGTTGGTTAGTCTGAGCTGAAGTAGTTTGTCTAGATTTCAGTCTTTTTAAAAGAGATCTGGGTTTTCAGCTTCCCTGGTGGCATCCATGAAGCTCTCTCCCTACCAGAAATGCTGACAAAATGTAAAGGGGAAACTGCAAAGTTGCCTCTTTTTTTTTTCAAGACAAAAAGAAAGACATACATGTTGTGTATGTGCAGAGCTCCTGGATATGTCCAAGGCATGATTTCCAGGCAACACAGCCTTTTCACGCTGTCTTTATTTCAGCTTCTGTATCCTCAATACTGAGCTCCCCTTAGACAGAAGTTTAAAGCTCTACCCTGAAAGGCAGCTCAGAAGGCCTGGTCTTCCCAGAAGGCTGGCACTGGGTGAGTGAATCCCCCCTCAACTCAATGACCTCGAGTCTCCTTCTTCCAGGAAGTTGTATTCACACTGCCTATGATGAGCGGTTGATTCACCGCTCTCCCTCCAGACCCGCTCAAAACATTTCCTTGGCACATTCAGCAGGCATTTAAATCAGTGCCAGATCTCCCAACTGGATGGGGAAGCCTGAAAACAAGGGGCCAACATAAAAAACAACAAATACATCCCAGAGTGGATCCTGAGGAATGGTTCCAGCCCTTTGAGCAGCCTGAGCAGAAAGTGAAGCGCGTGGGTCCTGTGTTCTCACTGACACCAGCACAATATAGCGAGACAGCATGACAGCCAAGAACACTCTTCCCTGTTATTTTCCCCAGCAAACAGTATCTCCCTTCTCTTAACAGATAAGAGGATCTATCGTCTCCCAGTGTTCACGGAGGAATTCTGCCAAGCCTTTGTGGATGAGCTGGAGAACTTTGAGCAGTCGGACATGCCCAAAGGCAGGCCCAACACTATGAATAACTATGGGGTAGGACTCACTAGCTCTTGTGCTTATTTAGGGGGAGTGTTCACAAGTAGACTCCGATCACCTCCTTGCTTCACACTCCTTTTCCTTCTGAAATGCCTGTAACTTGAGCACAGAGCAGTTTGAGTACAGCCCCTTTGAAGTGAAAGGATTGAGGGAGTGAGTGTTACACAGGCAAAAGGACAGGGGAATGCAAGGAAAGGGGATGGGAGTTGGTATCTTAGGGCAAAGAGCACCTTGTATTTAAGCAATACACGTTTAAATCAAGGAGTCCATTTTTAAAGAACGCTTAACTTTTCATCTTGCTTTGTCTTTTCCCCATCACTTTCCACTGTGAGCCTCCTTCTTTTGCCTGTAGCTGGAGCCTTTGCTCTAAAGTTCTTTATCTGAGCAAGCAGCAAGGTTGGAAGAGAACAAGACAGCTCTGCAGCAGCTCTGATGAAGCAGCAGATGTAGTTGGTCAGCTGTTCCCATCTCTTCTCTTTGAGACAGGTTTTGCTAAATGAGCTTGGGATGGATGAAACGCTCATCACACCCCTGCGTGAAAACTACCTGCGGCCCATAACGGCACTGCTTTATCCTGACTTGGGAGGCGCTTCTCTGGACAGCCATAAAGCCTTTGTTGTCAAGTACTCGCTACATGAAGATTTGGATTTGAGCTCGCACTATGACAATGCAGAAGTCACCTTAAATGTTTCACTGGGAAAAGACTTCACAGAAGGCAACTTGTACTTTGGTGATTTCAGCCAGGTACTGAGCATATTCGTAATCTAGACCTCAGTTCTCTTCTGCACTACCTCCTCACCCCCCAGTTGCAAGGCATTTGCTATGTTCTGAAAAACAATTATTCATTTCCAACAGTCAAATCTGCTCTGTCGCTTCCCCCTTTTTTAAAACGTCTTGGTTATACAGGAACCTTTTATGCTACAAGCACATTACCAATATTCAAGCTAATTGCAGCCAAGTCAGAGAGAGGACAGAGACAACTATCATAGTAGAAGCTGGAGTGAAACAAATCAGTCTTTCCCCAACTGCAATAATGAGCTGGAAGGTGCTGAGAGAGAGAAAGAGAGAGAAGTAATTTATTTCAGATGAGACTTAAACCTAAATCTGTAGCCCCTATTACTAGGGGACTCTTGGCAAGAGAGGGGTAAAAGCACCCATACACTGTTGAAACTATTTTTTTGATTGAAACTGTCTTTAAATTCCCTCTGGACCTGTCACTGAGAATGTCTCACTTGGAAACAGTTGTACTAAACTGCTGCCAAGCCATCCCCAAAGCGGCTGCATTTCAGAGGCGCAGTGAGTCCTCTCCATGTTGCTCACTGGATGCTGTGGGTGAAGAGGTAACAAGTAAAAGTTTCAACTAGTTGAGCATTGTTCTGCTAGGGAATTTCTGGTGTAATGCTGTGTCCACTTCCCTTTGTTCCAGGATCCTACCCCAGTGCCAAAGTACATAGAGATCGAACACGTGGGAGCCCAGGGGCTGTTACACCGAGGAGGGCAGATCCACGGGGCACTTCCCATTGCCTCCGGGGAACGCTGGAACCTCATTATTTGGATGAGATCATCTGCCATCCGCAACCAGCTCTGCCCCATGTGCAATAAGAAACCTGAGCTGGTGGAAGCAGAGGGGTTTGGAGATGGGTTCACAGAAACCCTTGAAGATGATGCGCCTGAGACTGTCAATCTCTGTTCCTTATGGTAGCAGAGAGTAGGGCCTGATTTCTTCAGACCAAGTTCCTTAAAGCTCCTTTCTGACCTCTCAGACTGCGCTAACAGACTCTTTGATGGATGCACAAGTCACGTAAGATGTAGCTATGGCATTGGGAAGTGATGCAAACCCAGTCCTGCTGGGGTTAGGGAAGCCAGCTGCCCGGGCAGCTGAAAGAGCTGGTACTCGGCTCATCAGGACTCACGCTCCGGCTGGAGGACTGCTTGAAAGATGTAGAAAGCCTTAACGCTTTGATTCACTGCAAAGGCTCTGTAAATATTTTCAGGTGTACGGGGAAAACACCCAAAGCTGCTTGGCCTTTCTGAAGACCTCTGTGCCAACAGCAGCATCGCGAGTCCTGCTGTAAATGGGAAAGAGCGGTACAATAAAGCCCTGCACTTACCTCTGCTCTGCTGTTTGCAGGGACTCCTGTCCTCTTCCAGGGGAGGGAGAGGAGCGTTTTGTTGCTGGGTGACAGTGAAAGATTCGCTCAAAAGCGAGATACAGGTGATTCACAACAGGCTGCTGGGAATACATGGAATTATCGTTACCAGAGATTTACCTAACCCAGGCTCAGAAAAATCCAGCAGGAGCAATACAGGGAGAGCTGATCCCACAGGGTGGCTGAGAGGACGTCTGAAGGCCTCCACGACCTCTTTTGAGCGGAAATTTCCCTTTCAAAGATTCTGTGAACCTCATTAAGCGAGCAGAAACGGGCTTTTAGAGACAAAGCTCTGGGAGCTACCTGCAACATAGCAAAACTTGCCAGAGGAAGTCAAGAGCGTAGATTTAACTCCCTTCCTTTAGTTATACGAGCAGGTGAAAATAAAAAAATTCTCTCAGCCTGGGTGCAGCAGGCAGGTCTGGCGCTGCTTCGTTTGGCACCAAGATCCGCCGGCAGCCGATGCGTTCAGAGGGTCAAGTGCTGTCCCCGTCTTACTGCCGGCTGGCTGAAATCACAGGCTCTCCCAGCTACAAGACAAATTAAAGAATCACCAAATATCTTCTGATTGGGTGGCTGCGTTTTGCTCTGTGGAAAATTAATTGTATTTGATACACCCGTATGCCACCGCGTTTCTAAGGGGCTTTTTCATTCATTTATTCAACTGCAGTAATTAGAGTGTGTGGACTTTGTGTCGTCGGTAATTGTGAAAGGCTGATGTGAGCTGGTACAGCTCGCACGGAGGGTGCCCATTTAAGCCTTCCCAGCAGACCCGCTGTATTTTTGGCCGGGGATGCCATTAGTGCGCAGCGCTGATTGGCTTTTCATTAGCGAAACCCGTTCAAATTGCATCTCGGGAAGGAAACCGGCTGCTGTATTTGTGCGCGGAGGCAAAATTATCAAGAAAACCGCTCGTCAAGGCCCCATTTCCTTCAGCAGAAAACGTTAGTGCTTCCTATCAGCGCCTGATTTAGACCCAAAAGTTTAAGCCGGGGGGCGAAACCGGCGCTGCCCCTGCGCGTCCGGAACCAAAGAGCGGTGCCCGGAACCAAAGGGCGCGCCCCTGTTGCCGCCCGGCCCCGCGCGCGGCGGCCGGAAGCGCGGGGGGG